TGGGGGGGGGGGGGGGGAGAAACATGTACTGGCTGCTTCTTTCTGTAGCTAACCGGAGTTGTCGAGAGGAATGGGCTGGTTATATGCTGGGGTTTGAAACAAAAAATATTGGTGGCTGTGGGTGGATGCTCTAGTGTGGTTGCTTCTTCTTTACTATCAAACATTTAACATCTTTATCTCTCCTCCTTTTCTGTGTATGTTACTCTCTAGTAGTAGCGCCTCTCGTCTTCAGTATTTATACAACATATTTGTGTTGCTAGTGCCTTAAAACTCTTTAACTTTATGTACCCAAACAAAACATGTTGGTGTAGAGTTGCTTCTTTCTCTTGGTGACCTGAATTGTAGAGAGGAATTTGCTCTGGCTGTTTGGTGGGTTTTGAGACAATACACAGTGGAACCTGCTCTGACAACCACCTGTATAAACTATAATAAACCGCCACTTCCCATTTCTTCCTTGGTGTATTTTATCTTTTACATTATGTTGACACGTGTAAGGCGTCCACCTGTCAAAGATGGCCATTTTTCTCCCAGACACCGGGTGGCTGTGTGTGACAGTTTTTGGAGTGTACTGGCGTAGAGCTGACTTTCTCTCCATCTGTTTCCTCAGGCAAATAGAAGAGAAGCGGGAGTACCTGAGCATCAAGGGCTACGACAAGGAAGTCATCAACTTGGAGCTCCACAAGCATCGCCAACACCATCCATTCCTGACGGACGCAGTGGGCTCCCCGGCCTTCCTGGGAGGGGTTTCCCCTCCCTTCAACTCGCAGGGCTCGCCCGGACACGTCAATCTCTTCTCCGGGTATTCCCACTTTGGAGATCAGAACTTTGAGGCGTGTGCTGCCGAAGCTGCGGCCATGGCTGCCAAAGCGCCTCTTCGCATGGACGCGGGCCTCCGGGGTAAGAACCCGCGCGGATTTGAGGACCTGATGAAGTATGTGGATTTCTCCACCCAAGCTGGACAGACCGGGGTGGCCAGCGCTGCCAAGATGGACGGCAAGAAATCGCTGAACGAGCTGCGCCAGGAACAAGAGCCTCGCTGGGACAACTTTGACAGTGTGGGCTCGAGCGGGCTGGGGAGTAGCACGGGGGCCGAGCTGCTGGACACCACCAGGGACACCAGCGCCAGCAACAGCCGCAAGTCGAGTGTCGACATGTCGGGCTCACACACCTCCTTGCCCGAGCTGCTGCGCACTTACCAACAGCACCAACAACAGCAACAGCACGCGCAGCCCGTGGTGTCGGGTGTGAGCGGCCAGCCTCCCCCGGGGCAGACGGGCGTGCTGATCCAACAGCAACAACAGCACCAGCACCACCAGCACAGCGCTGTGGCTGCTCCCCCTCCCCCCCAGCCAGCGATGCCGGCCCCCCACTCTGTGAACCCGGCTGCCTTCAACCCCTTCCTCGCCAGCCAGTTCCCCCCCTTTGCGGCGGCCATGCATCCATTCGGAGGTTTCCACTCATTCCCCATGACCACGGCCAGCCAGCAGGTGGCCTACCCTCCCCCCTCTGTGGCCACGGCTGTAGGACACCACCAGTACCCGGCACACCCACCCTCCTACACTGTCCCCCCGTCTGGGCTGTACCCGGGCCAGCCTGTGGCGGTCCCAGATAGCTCGAGGCTGTCCTCTGCCCCAGTGAAAGGTGCACCGTCTGTGGCCCACCCCCCCAGTACAGCCACCAGCATTCCCAGCAACAACCCTCCCCCTCCCAGCGGACAACAACAACAACAACAACATCAGATGCCGGCAGCCCAGGCGCAGCCCGCTGCCGCTGTTGCGGCCTCTGTTGGCGCGGCTGCCCCCGCCCCCACTCAGCAAGCTGCCCCTTCCTTACAACAACAAGAGACTGGCCAACCCCCCAGCGGGTGACTGTGGTGAACTTCACCCCCAAGTCTTTCATTCCCATACATTCATCTTGCCTTTGGCTTTACTTGTTTTGTGTTCTGATTTGTATGGCTATTTATTCGTGAAGCCCAGCTTAATCTTTCATAATGGGTATTCAAACACTTCATTTATTGGTCTTTCAAGGTTGTCTGACACTTTGAAGTTCCTTTGTGCATGGGTGTGTGGTGGGTGCGTGTTGACTGAGATTGTACCGTTCTGCTTACTGCAACTTGCTCACAACAACAGGCCAATGTTGGGCCAGATCTGTCAACCACTTTCATGTTGTTTTTTTGGCCTGTTGAAGAACCCCGATCGGACTTGCATAAAATCTAATTTTTTCTTTCTCGTGTTCTGACTGAATCAGTCATAAGCAAACAGCCGTAAATGCTGTGGAACTGCACTGGTTCATTTGCATTAGATCTATTATGCGTGACTTATTGTAAATGACGTGAAAATACACATTTTAATTTATGTTTATTTACAAAACACGTTTATTTGCTACTTTCGATTTGTAACGTTATCTTAACGTACTGGGGTTCTGGGGATGGTTATTTCCCACCTTAGACTCCCCTCTTATAGAGGGGGGATTTTGAGGAAAATTTGTGTTTTTGGTCATGGAGTGGTTGGCAGGTCTGAGGGGAGGGGGATGGGGGTGGTTGAAATAAAACCCAGCAAGGACATTAGGTAATTAACTCTCTTGGTCTTGTATAACTTGTCATTTGTCTGGAGGGGCCGGTGTCCCTTGTTCTCACATTGCTGTTGATTCTCCTTCCCTGATGGGGAGTGTGTGAGACAAGCTGTCCGTGGGAGGGGGGGGTTATTAATGTTCTGTGGTTTTCGCTCCATTGAGTTACGAGTCCTTTGCTATGTTTAGTGTAGACAGCTATGTGGTCTTATCCTGTGGGTGCTGGGAAGAGCGGACCCTCTCTACTGGTGCTTTTTGCTTGCAGCTTTGTTCCAAGCCTTGCTCCCTTTTGTTTGTTTTTTTAATACTGAGGTTTTTTAATCTGTGCAAAAAGATAAGTCTCTTGTTCTCATTGTTCTTCAGTGGGTTTCTTGTCATGATCGGAAGGAATTGTTTTGGCTTTCACACTTCAATATAATCAGAAATGTTAAAATTGGAATTTGGTATGTTGGTCTGCCGAGCAGAGTTGTTGTAAAGTTGGCCCCAGTAGAAGTGTGACAATAAAAGAGAGTTGAGGTACCTGTGTCTGTGGTTTAGTGCTCAGTAGTTTCGCCGTCGCACGCAGGAGACGCAAGTTCCGTTTCTGAACAGGGAGAATTTTCATTGAGTATCTTGGTGTTTCTGCAGGGATATTTTTCCCTCTCAGCCTGAGTTGGTCCTAACACGCAGGGTGGGAAACCTGCCTTTTAAATGATAGAAATTGTGTGGATGGGGGCGTAAAAACATGTCCATTGAAGGACTGGGTGTGGAAAGTGCACAGATAAGAGTGTGCTCTGAACTGTTTTGGGACGGGAATATCCTTGTTTGTGTGTGAAGCAAGTTGCAGTGGTGTGAATGCCAGTGGTTGTACACAAGTGGAAATAACTGAGTAGATTCCTGTAAGCTGAGGCTACGTGCGTGGCCTTGTAGCCAGTAGCCAGCTGGTTGCTACACTTTCCAACAGTATTAAGGCAGTGTGTGTGAAGCACAGCTTATTCTAATTCTACTACACATAGTATTTGACGGGAGAGACAATGAAAACCACACAGATGTACTTAAAGTGTGTCGGGGAGCCGGGCAGCTCCTGGTGGGGGTCAGGTTAGAGCAGGGGGG